GATATAATATTAAGTGAACTAACATATGTATAATTGGAATCTCAGAAGGGGGAGGCAGTAAAAATATTTGAAGAAATAATGGCAGACTTTGATGAAAACTATAAACCCACAGATCCAAGCAACTGAGTGACTTCAAGCAAAAGAAACATAAAGAAAGCCACATCAAGGCAAATGATAATTAAATCTCTGAAAATTAATACCAAAGAGAAAATCACAGAAGCATAAAATTATATTGGGAGGAAGAAAATTAAAAATAACAGACTTCTCATCGGAAATAATACAATCCAGAAAACAGTGTACTTATATCTATAAAATATTGGAAAAAAAACTGTCAACCTAGAACTCCATAATCAGTGAAACTATCTTTCAATATAAAAGTGAAATAAAGACTTGAAGGAAAAGAGAAAAAAATAAATATATCATCTGTCATGAGTCAATAGGTTAGAACATGAGACAAAGAATAGTCTGATGAAAGTGGGGGGAAAGGATGCTCACTTATATAAGTTGTCCAGGAAAAGACCGCCCCCCCCCCCGCCCAAAGAGGTGACATTTGAACAGAATCCTGAGGGAGGCAGTCATGAAAATGTCTTTGTGACAGAGAGAAAAGCAAGTGCAAAGGCCCTGGGGCAGAATTGTGCTTGCTGTGTTCAAGGAACAGCAAGGAGGCCAGTATGGTTTTATATCAGAGTGAATGGGAAGAGAAATAACAAAAGGTGAAGGTGCAAAACAGGTTGTACAAAGCAAAACCATTTAAGAAGCAGTTGCAGTTGTCCAGGAGAGAGATGATGGGCTTGGAGCAGACTGGTAGGTGTCATAGGTAGAATAACACCCAAATGTATCACATCCTAATCCCAGGAACCTGTGAATATGTCACCTTACATGGCAAAGTTATCTTTCCAGATGTTATTAAGTTAAAGACCTTGAGGTGGAAGATTATCCTGGATTAACTGGATGGGTCAATCTGATCATATAGAACCTTAAAAACAGAGATCCTTTCCCAGCTCTGGGCAGAGGGAGATGGGAACATGAAAGCATGGCCAGAGAGATGCAACATTGCCGGCTTTGAAGATGCAAGAAGGGGTTATGAGCCAAAGAATAAGCACTAGAAGCTGGAAAGGGCAAAGAAAAGGATTCTCCCCTAGAGCTTCCAGAAAGGAACATAGCCCAGCAAACACCGTGATTTTAGCCCATTGAGACTCATGTCAGACTTCTGACCTACAAACCTGTGAGAGAATAAATGTGTGCTCTCTTAAACCACTGAGTCTGTGGTAATTTGTTACAGCAGCAATAAATAATGAACACAGTAGGGATGAAAGTAGAAATGTCACTATGGCTGCAGTAGAGAGAACTGGCCAGGGAACAGAGAGGGCAAAACTGAAGGCAGGGAAGCAGTTACGATCAACTCTTTGTTTTGTGTCCAGGTTTCAGCTCTTGCATTTAGCCCTTAGTTAAAAAGAGGTATATTAATGTGCCTCTACTAATGCCAAACATAAAAAGAGAAAATTTCACCATCCTTATCCATTTAGAAGAACAAAATACGCTTATCAAAACAAAAATTTAGTATATATATACAATGGAATATTACTCAGCCATAAGAAAGAATGAAATAATGCCATTTGCAGCAACATGGATGGACCTAGAAAATATTATGCTTAGTGAAATGTTAGACAAAGACAAATACTGGATATTATCACTTATATGTGGAATCTAAAGAGTAATACAAATGATTATATATGCAAAACAGAAACAGAATTACAGATATAGAAAAAAAGCTTGTGTTTACCAAAGGGGAGAAGGAAGGAGGAGGGGCAAATTAGGAGTATGGGATAAACAGATACAAACTACTATATATAAAATAGATAAACAACAAGGGTATACTATATAGTACAGAGAATTATAGCCATTATTTTGTAATAACCTATAATGGAGTATAATCTGCCGAACACTGGATCACTATGCTATATACTTGAAACTAACATAATATCGTAAATCAACTATAGTTCAATTACACAAATAAATAAAGTATTCATATTTTTTAAAAAGTATGGAATGGAAGGCTGAGCAGTGTAGTGAAATTCCAGCTAGAAAAGGGCCATACAGGCTGATTAAAGAGAAAGTGATTATAGGAAGAATCACTATAGTTAATATCACATCAAAATCATCTTTAATAACACCGAATAAAAGTCACTAGAGATGATTTCTGCAAAGGCAGAAATTGCAAATCACTTCCCATTGAAGTACCCTCAGTGTTTCCTGCTGAGCCCTCTTCTATGGGTGGTGTGGGGTGAGGCATGTGAAGTAGACATGTATCCCCAGAGCAGGGCTGTCAGCTCCAGAAACCCTTCTGCTCAACTGGGAGGATTGTCAAGACTACCCCTCAAGTCCCAGCCTCCTACACCCATGTTTCCAGAGCCCTGAAGTCACTCTTAATAATCGGAGTGAGATCAGTCAATATCCTCCATGCCAACGTGGATGAAAGTCATGGCACAAGTCACTGAGCCCGACGTGTCTCTACAGATTTGCAGCATCTGGCCCACATCTGGGCAGCTCAGGAGAGCGTCGCTGAGCGCCAGAATGCTCTTCTTCTCGGAGCCGCCTTCTCCAGTCCATAAACTTCCAGTGTCTCCAGCTCTTGCTTCTCTTTGTGGAAACAGATTTCTTTTTCTGTGGCAGCAAGATGCTGAGGAGATTCAGAAAAAAATTCCTTTTCATTTTCAATTAGGACATCACCAACACAGCAGAGGACATGGACTTCACGCCACCAACAAGCCATCAGTGCCTCTTCTTAGACAAAGCAGGGTCACCGAGAACAATACCTGCTACCAATTTTTGAGCACTTACTGTCCTCCAAGCACTGCATATGTATAGGATTTAATCCTCACAGCACCACCTTGAAGCAGGTACTATCATCTCCTCTTTAAAGATGAAGAAATTAAGACTGGAAGAATGATAATTTGCCAAAGTTCTGGCGGCTTATATATACCAGAGTGAGGATTCGAACCCATGTCTACCTGACTCCACTAGGCTGAAGCCTTCTGGTAGATAATGAAGAAAACTCCTGGACCCCTTGACACCTCTCTCACACACAGTCAAACACTGAAATGTAAGGTTAAACCATGTATAGTCTGTAATGGAACTCAGGTGCCTTAAACAACAACTACAGCCTCCAGCGGTCTCATCCAGAAAAGTATTCAGCATATATTTGCTACCTGAAGCTGGGGGTTACAATGAGAGCCAGATTATCTCGAAACAAAGGACTGAGATTCGACTGGAAACGTTCATTTGTAACTGCACTGGCACATTTGCACTTCCGTAAAGCTGACGGCTTCCTCTCATTTATCCACACCTGATGGGAGCCCAACCTTTTTGTCTGTGCAACCGATGAGTCTTCCCATTTGAGTCCCTTTTAGTGCTGGAAATCCTTCCAGGTCACTATCAGGAATCTCAACCCTAATCCTACTGGCAGTACAGAACGGCAGATAAGAATGAATGATTTGGTGGAGAACAGACTTGGGTTCAAATCCCAGCTGGGCCACTGATTAGACATACCCCTGTGGGTAAGTCACAGCTTTCCACACCTCAGTTTTCCCATTTGTGAAACGAGGATAGCAAAACTTCACAGGGTTGTAACAAGATCAATGAGGTAATGTGCGTAAATCTCTTCGCACAGTGGCACATAGTAAGCGGTCAACAAATGCTAATATTAGTGCTATTACCACATAGCTCAGGACACAAGTGGCAATTAAAGCCAAGGACAAACAACTCAGACCAGGGCAATGAGCCCTTCACCCCCTGTGAACCTCCAGAGAGATCTTAGCAGAAACCGAGCTGAAGCTGGGCAGCACGGAGAGGAAAGCTCACCGTCAGCACATCTGAAATGTTTCCAGACATTCCCCAGGTGGTGTACTCCAACTAGCCATGGCCTGTCACACTGGGCTCTTCTCCTGTCCTGTCCCCCGACTCCATTTCAGTGGTCCCTCCAGGGGGAGCAGACAGAGATGATCCATGAAGATGATTCACTGGGGTGAAAAAAGAAAATATTATGACTTCCATTTATATTTTTATGTTTTTTTAAACTTATATTTGATACCATGTATAAAATAGACAACTGAGGGGAACCTACTGTATAGCACAGGGAACTCTACTTAATGCACTGTGGTGTCCTAAATAGTAGGGAAATCCAAAAGGGAGGGGATATATGTATATGTATGGCTGATTTATTTTGCTGTGCACTAGAAACTAATGCAACACTGTAAAGCAACTACACTCCAATAAAAATTAATTTTAAAAAATAGTTATAGGGCTTCCCTGGTGGTGCAGTGGTTGGGCGTCCGCCTGCCGATGCAGGGGACGTGGGTTCGTGCCCCGGTTCGGGAGGATTCCACATGCCACGGAGCGGCTGGGCCCATGAGCCATGGCCGCTGGGCCTGCGCGTCCAGAGCCTGTGCTCCGCGACGGGAGAGGCCACACCAGTGAGAGGCCCGCGTACCACACACACACAAAAAAAATTATATTCATATTTGTACTGAATCCAAAGATACACATATAAATATATTTGGGATACATGCTCATTGTTTTTAACTAATAGGGAGTGAAATCTGAAAAAGAAAAATGTGAAGATGAGTGTTCTATCCAGTTCTTAAAGAGATACAAGGTTATAAGGTCAAGTGCCGGGCAGGCATCATTCAGTCCACAAGGGTCAGGTGGGTAATCACCCCCTCAGCGCTATCAGCTGATCAGTCACTGGTCCTTCCTGATGTGTCACCTTTAGAAGTCAGCACAGAGCCCAAACCCAAATTATCGAGGCAGCTTGCACAGGGCTCTGGACTGGGAGTCAGAATATTTGGATTTGAAACCTGGCTCCGCTCTTAACTCGTGTGACATCACTGGGTAAGTCATTTAACTCTGAGAATCAGTTTCCTCCTCTCTTTCTAGATGAATAATACATACCTCAGAGGGTTGCTGTGACCTCTAGGTGAGGTGATGTCTATCAGAGGGTTGCTGTGACCTCTGAGTGAGGTGATGTCTATCGAAGGGCTTCAATGACAGTTGAATCTAACTCATTCATCTCCTGGCGGCTGAGCTGAGAATGGTGATGACTGATGGGCTAACACCAGTTGATGGTCTGCTCTGTGGAAAAGAAGGAGAACTCTTCTGTGTCGTGCCAGATGAGAAGATCAATACAGGGAAGAATTTCTGGAACAGAACTAAAAATCTGCACTGTCTTGCCAAATACTGGATTCCCTACCACAGACATACATGTTCAAGCCGAGGCCCTATGTCCAGAGATTTTGTAAAGCAGACTCATTTTGAGTGAGAAGTTTGGTGTAGACAACTTTTACTAAAGTTTTATCACTCTAAGCCAAATAAGATGAGAATTCCTTAAAGAGTAACATGATCGCTAGCGATATTAGGCCCTCTGACAGGTCAAGGGGAAAATGATGGGTATTTGGGCTCGGGGGTAGCTTTTGATATACTTGAAACCATACATCTCCTAATTCATCCACACTAGACCTACCTCCCAATAGTCCTTCAAATCCCTGTCATATGAAATAAGTTGTTCAACAGTTCACTTAGCCTGGTGTCCAAAACCATTTGATTTATCCCTACTTACAGACGTGTTGTTCTGGAAAGATGCTCAAGAGGAATAAATCACATCAGTGTCAAAACTTTAAACAACTCATTCACAAATATTTTATCTCCAGCCCAGACCTTGTCTTTGAGGGCCAGACCCATATGGTCAACCTATACCTTACCATCTAACTTCAATACTTCCTAAAATAAACTCATCATGTTGCCTTTACCCCCACCTTCTAGCTTTTCTTGTCTTGATGAATGATACCACCATCCATCCATTTGTCCCACTCAGAAGCCTAGGGTCATCCTTGCCCCCGCTTACTCCCTCCCTCCCCATATCTTATCATTTTTACGTTCTAAATACCTCTTGAATGCATCTACTCCTTTCCCCTCTCTTCCACCACTCACTACTTTAGACCAAGCTTCTGTTACCTGTTGCCTGGACTACTGCAGTAGCCCCCCGTGGTCTTCCTCATCCAGTCTTACCCTCCTCCCATTGCTCACTACTTGGGCTTCCCAATACTCCTAAAACAAAGCTCAAAATGAGCCACAGTGTGCTGTGACGTCTGGCTCTGACTCGGAGCTCAGCCCATCTCCTTCCTGCTCTCCCTCCCTCTTCACTTCAGCCACGTCGACCCTCTTTCTGGTTCTCATACTCTCATGTTGCCATCCATCGCGGGGTCTTTTCTCAACCTTCCCTCTGCCAGGAAGACCCTTCCTTTATATGCCTCCTTAGGTCCTACTCATCCTTCTTAAGGGTCACTTAAGAAGCATCATCATTTCTTCAAGGAAACCTTCTGTTACCTCTTGGACCATCACAAACGTGCCTATTTTAGGCTCTTAGGGCAATAATTAGCACTTGTCACAGAAGGAGATGTATATTGGTGTGTGATTATTCTTATTTCTGTACATTTCCCCCAGTAAACTATAAAATACATGAGGACGAGAACAGTGACATCTTCGCTCACCACTGGGTCCTAGGATGTTGCACAGTGCCTGGGATATAACAGATCCTCAATGAATATCTGGTTAATAACTGAACAAATCAATAATGATGAATGAAACTAAGAATAAATGTTCTATGTGCTTGTGCAAGTCTCTTCATCTCCCCTGCCCTGATTTTAACTCTATGAAATTGGGTGGCAGGAGAAGCAGGTAAGAAATAAACGGGAGAGGGAATTACACAGCACGTAGAATCACCAACGCCTCAAATTCTTTTGTTCCAAAATGTGAAATTTCAAAAATTCTAATGGAATCAAAGATCCAAAAAGAAAGTTGTGCTCCTGCCGAGCTCACAAATACATGCTTTTTTCCCCCCCATAAATAGAACAAACAGATGCTATCTGCAAGGCTCACAGCACATCTGTGCAGATAAAGCAGCAGCGCTGGGGTGTCCTGGGAAAGAACTGATTTGCATGTTTGCTCTCTGGCGTGCACAGGCTCACACATTCCTTCCAGAGAGCTCTGAAATGGCCACTTTCAGAGAATCTAGGTTGTGGTTTTGCATGTATTCTTCAAGTTCACCTTCAGTCCCTGTATTTGAGAAATATTCATGTTTAAAAAAACAAGTTTTAAAGAAAGCTTTGCTGGCTGGAGGGCTTCTTTCCTCCCTGCCACCCTCCCTTTCTCAAGCTCTCACATTTGAGTGTTGTCAAGTTATCATGCTTTAACTAATCAAAACAAAGGTAATATGAGAAACGACTAAAAGTTTTATGCCAAGTATGGAAACTGCCTGAAGAAGATGGTGGCAACAGCCAGTCAAAAGACTCAACTTTCTTTCTGAGAAAATAGGACTTTGATTTACTTACAGTATTTTCTCCTAAGGGTCTCAAAATCATTTTCTTTCTTTTTAAATATTTAAGAGGTTACCTGGTAAGGAGTTTTCTTAAGTAAGGTGGACAAACTGAGGCCTATGATGTCCTTTTTTAAAACAGGCAGTAGCTGAAATAAATTGAAAGTGATTTATTAATTCCCACAAGAGAAAATGCTAAAAAAAAAAAAAGAGGTGGGAATGGGAATTCTCTGCTCTGGGAGTCCAGGCCGCAGAGCAGCTTAATCTAATTTGCATAGGAGGCCGGGAGTTCCTGGAATTGCACTCCCATGTGGCCCTTACAATCCCACCCCTATTTCCACCACTGACCATGTGCTGCTTTTTTTATGGCAACTGGACATTAAACTTCATAAAAGCAGTAAAGTTCAGCTAATCACTTAGAAAACCAGGCAAATGAATACACTACTCTAAAATGGTGACGTCTTCAAGAACCTTTGGTAGTTACTGAAACAAACAAGGGAATACTGTATCTACTGACAGTTATGCCAAAAAAGAAAAAAAGTTCATGTTTCCTACTCAATATATTTTTCTTCGTTCAGACTTCAGACAACTTCGCCCTACCACACCCAGCTACTTGTGACTGGTTCCAAAGAGTGACACCAGCTGATGAAAGACGACATTCTTACAACTCTTTCCCGCCAAAGACTCATGGTGAGATGGCCTTTCTCCAGCAGACTATACACTTCATCATCTGTGTCCGTCCTTCTGTCCCCAGAGAGACAAGCTCCAAGGGGAAATCACCCTTCCGAGGCAGCTCTGGATCAGACCTTGGGAAGTGAAACCAGGGATGTGCAGATCAGCTCGGACTGCTGGCCTCCCCCTCAGAAGCTGAGTCACTGACCTGGCCGGTTCATTTAATCACTTGGAAAGTGGTTAGACTGAACAGGACATGTAGTGATTAGTAATTCAGACTGGTCTCAGAGCTTCATGTTTTTCACTTTTAGACGCCAACTGCAGCCTTTCTCTTGGAGTCAACAGGAAGTGAGAATTGCAAGCCAAATTTGACACCACTTGACGTAACCGGGGATGGACTTGGGCCCTTATTTCTCCACCCAATAACACAGAGATTTTGAAAGTGAGCCCTTCTAGTTAAACACATCAACCTAGTACCAGGGGCAGAATAAGGAATTAAGAATTGAAGAAAACCTATTTTGATAACTCAGACTTAACCCCTTCTTCTTATCTGGCTTTCATTGAATAAAAAAGTAAATTAAAAAAAAATTTCTGTCTCAGATATAGATCTGAAGATGGTAAGAATAAAAAGAAATAATATTTATTAAATAAGCTACTCCCCACACTAATTAGAAAATGATTGTGATTGAGGCAAACACAAAATCTACTTTCCCGATTAATTTTTCTCATCATGATGCATTTGTGAAATATCCTACACTGGGCACAGTAAGACATGGCCACGTAGTCAAAAGCGAAACAGATAGACTTTTTATGAAACATTTCCTATTTCTGGTTACAGTTACTGTTGTGATGATTGATTCATGTTCAGCCATTTCCAACTACAGTTGTGGTACTAGCAATGAGATTTAACGTTTGATCATTTTACATGGACTGTTTGGTGAAGGAAAGTAATATGTGTATGTCTTTGCACTCACTCCTGTTCTTTCTCTATTTTCTGTCTTTCCTCTCCAATCCATCCCATACCTAGTCCCCAGATTACTTTTCCTAAAATATCACTGCTGTGCATTTATTCACTTGAAATTGGTTGAAACCTGACCACACGTCAGTGGTCACTTAGCTAAAAATTGACAAGAAAAGGTAAACATGATGGTTTTACCCTTGAAATGTTCATAGTCAGTGATAATTCTCTAGTCAAAAGTCCTAGTTCTTTCCAGGACTGTGAGATCCAGTTCAAACTTTAACCTGATAGTTCTGAACTCCTAAGTTTAGGCCTTACCAGAATGATCTTCTCCCAAAGTGCCCACACTCAAACCCATACCCCTGTCTCTCCACATGATCTAAAATGCCCCTTCCTTTACATATCCAAATTCCCTCAGAACCTAACTCACTTACCTGTCACAAGACCGTGTCTGATCATTCAGCCTTTGCCCTTTTCCTAAATTCCAAAAGCCCAGATTATCTTTATCAATTTTCAGCTTAACACTATCCCACATACCCTGATCTGACCAAAATTCAACTGTAAATATGTAAATACATACATACATTTGAACCTACATATATACATACCTGGATATTAAAGAAAAGAGAGCTGGACTTGGGACATTCATTCTGTAATGAAAACTGGGGCAAATGCTCCGTTGGCATAATGAGGTTGGGATTATCATTTTACAAAAACAGGCAGGGGGAGGGGTTCCAAGCTATGTTATTAGGAGGAATATAAATTTCTCGTGTAACTCAGATGCTCTTTAGAAGAAAATTAATTATTATTACAAGAAGCTTTGTTTATTTCAGACTCTTTAGGAGAAAACAGTAGCTCCCTGATACAGAAGGCTTTGCGCTTTCCCCACTTCCCTCTGCCAGGCTTCAGAGTTTCTCCTTCCTGCTCCCCTCCCTGACCCTCCCACCACTCACACCCCCAGCTCACCCCAAGGAGACACCAAACATTAGCACCTACCCTTTCTTAGAGTCAACAAAGATTGAGTGGAAGGAACAGTCCAGTGCACCTTCCTTTTCTGTAGGGATGATGGGGTATCTATCCTAAGAAAAGAGGACATCAAAATGTGGACAAATAATAGAAGAGGTCTTCTTGGAGCAAAGGAAGGGGAGAGAAGGAGCTTGGGGCATGTCCATGTGGAAAACCCTTGGAATCTAGGCAGTACGGTCCCATCTCTTCATGTGGGACAAAGGATTAAGTTGGTTCACCCAGTTCCTGATTCTCCCCTCTCCGCCTCATGATGTATGACTCTGAGGCAGTTAGTTACCTAAACTCTTCAGGAGGAAAAAAAAAAAAAAAAGAAAGAAAGCTCAGTAATCACAAATGTGGAACGAACCATCAGGGGTTATCCCAATACTTCACTGCATATTATAAACTATTGGGAAAGACATTCCTGAGGATGACTAGGAATCTAGGAAATCATAAAGCTGATACCACCCTGCTCCCCAGCCCGACGCCCAGCTTCCACCATCCCCAGCAGATCTCCTGAGGGCCCAAGTATACCCAGCACTGAAGGAGCAAAGACCCCCTTTGATCGGGGAAAAACTAGGACATTAAGAAGAAGACTTCCTTTGACTGCCTTCTTTCTGTGTCTCTACACTTGACCACGGATGTTTCAATCACATGTTAAGCACTGTTTTCATTTGATGAGTCATCTTCAGTCTTATGAATTACTGTGTCAAAAGAGTTTCTTACAATATGTTCAGAATAAGTGTCATGTCGGGAAAAAGTGCTCATGGGCAGCTACTCAATTCCAGCTACATTTCTACCTGTGGATCACACAGAAGGCTGGCCTGACCTTGCAATAATTTAAATTTCTTCTTTCTAGGTTCCCCACAGCTTTGAAGCCAACCGCTATGCATCTTGTTTACACAAACCCAAGAGTATCAAGCATGGTGTACATCAATACTTACAGCCTTTGTCATGTATGTCTGCTACAGTCATGTAACGTATGTGCCAAGATTCATTGTGTCCTTAATCACTTTCTTTATCTGTAAAACAAATAGTTTGCAGCAACATGGACGGACCTAGAGATTGTCATACTGAGTGAAGTAAGTCAGACAGAGAAAGACAAATATCATACAATATCACTCATATGTGGAATCTAAAAAGGGCACAATTGAACTTATCTACAAAACAGAAATAGAGTTACAGATGTAGACAACAGACTTATGGTTACCAGGGGGTAAGGTGGGGAGGGACAAATTCGGAGACTGGGATTGACATATACACACTACTATGTATAAAATAGAGAACTAATAAGGACCTACTGTACAGCACAGGGAACTCTATTCAATACTCCGTAATGACCTATATGGGAAAAGAATCTAAAAAAGAGTGGATATATGTATATGTATAACTGATTCACTTCGCTATACACCTGAAACCAACACAACACTGTAAATCAACTATACTCCAATAAAAATTTTAAATTAAAACAAAATTGTAATAACACATACCCACAACCATAGATTTGTAAAGATTAAATGAGTTAGTATGACCTATATGTGCTTAGACCAGGCATTGGAAAACTTCTCTGTAAAGGACCCTATAGAAATATTTTTAAGTTTTACAAGTCAGGCAGTCTCTGTCTCAATACTCACCTCTGTCATTGTGGAGCAAAATCAGTCCCAGACAAATGAGCATGGCTGTGTTCCAATAAAACTTTATTTACAAAGAGAGGTGGTAAACTGGATTTGGCCCATAGGCAGGTGGTAAACTTTGATGGCCCCTAGATGAAAGGATAAGTGTTTGATAAATTTGGTATGATCACACTTATTACCTAATCAATGCTGGCAGTTCTTCATGTTCATATTGTGTTTCTCTTTCTTAGTAACATCTGGAATTGAATTCTGGATACCTTAACTTACCTATCATCACTGTGGCCACTGATGCAGAAAGGAAAGGTAGGAGGGTTTTCATCTTGCTTATACGTGCATATCATCTAGTGGTAGAAAAGTGTAATTGCAAGATTTTTTTTTTTTTTTTTAGTGTCCTGGGCCTTGTTCAAGCACACCCTGGTAAGAGGGTCGCTTCCTCAGTCTGCCCACAGTGGGCATCTACAACTGGACTAAAGGGCCAGTCCGATCCACCTGGTTTCAAGGAACTTTCCAACAGGCCTTTGACAGGTGTTCTTATAACTCAGAGTTTGATGTCAACAACCAAAAGTGTTCACTGAGGAGATAAAAAGAAACTATTTAAGAAATAAATATTATTTATTAGTCAATTAACTGTTTATATATGTGTGTTTAATAATACTAACAAATCCTTCAGAGAAACCATACAGTATAGGTATGTGTTTATCTTAAAATTAGCCTTCACTATGAGCCCTGAGCATAAGGTGGTGGCAACTCTTTGAGTCCAGGTCATATTTCTCTTTATATCCTTCAAGGATGCTGCCTACTGGCCACACTACCTCCTTCCTGTCTACCTTCTGTGCTGACCCACGCTGCATTTGTACTTCCCCAGATCATTGCCAAGAACACTAACTGCTGAGAATTCTCAGTCTTTCTGTAGCTATGCAGAGGTTAGAACTTAAGTAAACAGGATCTTCATAAAAACCACAGTTCTAGAACGCAGGCTCTTCATTATTAATATTTTTATGGAGAGCCTCTCCACCAGCATATTCTCTGAAAATAATTTTGATACATGGATGCCTGCAGATTATTATTATTATATATTAACATTGTTTGTTACTATGGTGAAGCAAGTATATCAGAAGACACTTTTTTTTTTTTTTTTTTTTTTTTTAGGTAAGAAGTGGATTTATTTCAAGAGAAACACACTCCATAGACAGGGTGTGGGCCATCTCAGAAGATGACAGCGGCACCAGGGTATGGGGTTGTCAGTTTTTATAGGGGTGGGTAATTTCATAGGCTAATGAGTGGGAGGAGTATTCCAGCTATTTTAGGAAGGGGCGGGGATTTCCAGGAATTGGGCCACCGCCCACTTTTTGATCCTTAGGTTTGGCCTTGGAACTAGAAGACACATTTTTTAAAATGTATGCATGTATCAATATTAATAGTGAGAAAAAAGGAAGCTTTCCAGCTCTATATTTCCTTGATGTGTCTCCCTCACTGAATAGAATTCATTTATGGACCTTTGAGGAGTTACTTTATAGTAAAAAGAATTCTGACCTCTAACAACTTGATTTTCTTTTCCTCCCCTGGATCAGTAAGACATCATTGGGTTTGTATCCCATAAGCAAGTTCATATCCCCATTCATATCCCATCAGTGACATGAGTGATGGCTGGAGTCTGGGATGCTTTGTCAGCAACAGAGGACGCCTCCTGCTTCCACACCCCACCCCACCCCCAGATGACTCTGTCTGTCCCCCTTCTTCCTGAGATTCATAAGTATCCAGAGTTTCTCAAATGCTCTTTCACCACTACCACCATCACTGCAACCACCACCTGCCTTCCAGAGCAGCTGGCTGGCCTGGGACCTGCTTCCCCATCTTTTTTCCTGGACTCCCTTCCTGGGTATCTGGGTCCCCTCCCCTTCATTCCTACTGCCTTGACTTAGAAGGATCTCCCTCCTCTGCTTTTGAGGAAATTCTCAACTCCATTCTACATTTCCAAACAAAAATCCCTATTTTGTTTCCCCCAAATCACGAAGCTGACCAGAAGAACTGGATTGAATTGGCCACAGCGCCGTCTGGACTCTCTTTGTGATTTTTGGCTACTCGCTCTTCCCAGTAGTTTACACTGACATGTCAGATTTTCCACAGTGGTCATGTAACATACCCATTCCTCCTTACGCCTACCTTGGGACTCACCCAGCAAAATTTAGGATGCTCTTGGGATCATGTATAAAGAGAGTGCTGGGCGTTAAAATGACACGGACAAAGTTCTTACAAGACCATAATTCTGCCCCTGGTTATGATAGAAATTAGCTGAGTGATCATTGGACATCAATTGCCTCACAAAACAGGAGGTTGGCTTCAACGTGCAACCAAGTCCCTCTCAGCTCAAATAATCTATCGTTCTGGATGTATCTTTGCTTATTTTTTAAAGAGGACACCTGAGTTCTAATTACAACCCATTGGTCCTCATTTTAGGTAAAGTTGCCAGAAAGGGACTTTGTGATGCCTGGTCCTGTCAACCTTCCATCCTCTGTTACCAGTATCTTGAAACTTTAAAGTTTTTACTGTCATTATTGGGTAAATTCTTCGCTTTGGGCACTGCTTAACATTTCTTCCAGAAATGCCTTTGCCACTGAAGTATCATCCAACGTGGATTTGAAATTGTCCAGTTATAAATCCTGGACCTGCTTCTGGTCAGAGTTGTCTTCCCTCCCAATCAAATCCCTCAGGGCCTGGATTTAGCATGGACTTCACTGCCCTTCATCTTAGAAAGGATCTCGGGATCCTTCTGGATACTATGTAGGTTTCCTTCAATTTCAGAATGTCTGTTTCCAAGTTCTACAAGAAAGAGATATTTTTGAATTTTTATTTATGGCCTGTATCCTGCTTATGCCAGCAGATGCATCAAAGATACCGCAACTAAAATAGGATTTTTATAGGAAAACAGAATTGAGGCCTTAATTAATTGCTGACATCATATGTACTCCCTCAGAAAACCAGCTATTCAGAAATGACTCTACTCCCTTCTGGCATAATTTACCCCCTACTTCTTCATTATTATTAAGGACATATGTACAGAAACAGGATCTGCGCCTTGCTGGACTTCTTCCATGCCAGCCACTCATAGCCCAACTGATGTTATAATCCTTCCTTTTTCACATTACAATTGGTTATTGTGCAAATGAGTATGTTCTCCCAGGAACAGATTGTGACTTTACGTGGAGTAAGAACAGGCATTGGAAGCAGATGAACTCTCAGCAAGCCAGGATTGGGACCTCACCCCAAATGCCCTCGATAAGACACAAGGGAAGAAAGAAATAAATACAAAGAAAGAAAAAGAACAGAATAAAAGGTGAGGTAAACTATTTTAAACAAATTTGGAGCCAAGTTACTTAAGAGATGTCAGCTATTTTATAGCATGTACATAAAGGTTCTGAATTTTCGTTCTCAAGGCAGAATCTCTAAGGAGGATCCTTGTAGCCTCAGCTTCAATTCTGAGGTCTATTCCTCTACTTTTCCTGTAAATATAACTTGGGTTCCAACAAAACAACTACTTCACTACTTTCTGTTCCTACATATATTTCTATACCATTACTTATTTTAATCTGACCACCTGGAATGCCTATTCTCAACCATAAGACATTCCATGCATTCTTCAAGTTCCTTCTCAAATATCGTCCTCATCATCGTGTCTTAAAGTGTAAGGAAGAATGATGAGCAAGCCATGGAGAGATCAGATGTGATGCTGCAGATGGACTGAGCCTGGTCATTTTTGTGGTGGTTTTAATTTTGGAAGCAGAGACACAATGGACAGCAGAATGGACTTATCAGTAAAAGAGACTTGATGAGCCTACTAGAGAACTTTCTAGAACTGTGGTGTTCCTTGCTGGTGATTTAGTAACTACTCCCTAAAACACATTTTCTATTGTTTGTCCAAAGTCATGCCCTTCTCATCATCAGCCAGGGTGATGGTCTCTCTGAGTATGTACCTGGGAAGAAGGTGTAATGGGAAGGCCGAATATACACAAAGAAAAATTACAGGGAGCTACAAATTCAATATCTCAACAGGGAGAGCAACATTTCATTGACATTTCCTATGTTCGGGCAGTTTGTTAAGCACTTTACACAACACCTAATACACTGAGTCTTCATTCAAAACAAAGACACAAACAAAAAACCCTATGAGGTGAGCAGGAGAATCTTTACAGGGGGTTCGGGAATTTGTCCAAGGTTCCACCACAGTTAGTGTATGAAATCCACGTCAGTCCATTTCTAGAGCCTCCTCAAAGGCTTGTCCATCACTTTCCAGAAGCAGACCAGCTATGGTCTCATCCTCCTAGCGTGTTCTGTCCACACAGCACACCCAGGTGTAGCTGCAAATTTATGAATCTAAAAGTCAGCCCGGAGGCAAGAATGGTTTAGAAATGCTAGACTCCAACAGATAAAGCTCAACAGACAGTTGGGAGCCCTCAAGTTCCTTCCCTATCTCCTCCTATGTTTCCTGTGTAGCCTTTAGCCAAACATTTAATTCTCACCTTCAAGAAGTGCACGTCTTCCTCCCGTTGCCTGAATCCTTCGTGGAGAATGGCTACTCCCCTCTACTTCCTCTGTGAGCCTTTCTGCCTTGCCAGGCACAATTCCTCCTTCTGAATCCATCTGAAACATCCTTTTATACATACCCCTTTTAGCTACAGCAGTTCACAATCCTTTAATTTCTTGTTCCCATCTCAGGTCTCCCACCAGCCTGGGAGCTCTTCAGAAGCTAAGTACTCTGTCTTATTTATCTCAGCGCATCAACGCTTTAGAACGTGCACTGAATACAGAAACACATTAAAAGACAGATGTTTTAGGGTTTCCGTGGTGGCACAGTGGGTAAGAATCCGCCTGCCAATGCTAGGGGACACGGGTTCAAGCCCTGCCCCCGGAAGAGCCCACATACTGCAGAGCAACTCAGCCAGTGCGCCACAACTACTGAGCCCATGCGCCTAGAGCCTGTGCTCCGCAATAAAAGAAGCCACCGCGATGAGAGGCCCGCGCACGCTCACCGCAACTAGAGAAAGCCCACGCCCAGCAATGAAGACCCAATGCAGCCAAAAATAAATAAAATAAAATAAATAATTTTTTTAAAAAATTAAGAAATGCTTTAAAAAAATAATGTTTTACATACATACAAACATATGCTGTTCAGAGTGTTGTGTCAGAAGAAAAGTCCAAATCCAATGCATAATTTTTTAAAATTTGTAACCTGTGTTTAGCAGGTTTTTTTTAAAAAATATGGCTCCAAAAAATGAGATAAACTCAAGTATCTCCAACCTCTTATTTGAGAAACATGGTTCTCAACTCTCATGGGAGCCACAATCAGAAATGAAGAGTAAGAAAGCAGTTGAATAAGTATTTATTGAATTGAATTGTTTGTAATTGAACTGAATTAAACTAAAAGTGTCTTAGCTTCCACTGATGGAGATCACAGAGCTCTTTGGGTGGAGAGTGGACCCAGAGGACAGAAAAGGGCTGTCTATGGGCTCAAGAGCTCTGGGTCAGGATTTCTCAGCCCTGGTTGCAAATTACAATCACCTGGGGAGCTCAAAAGAAAATTTGGATGCATGATTCCCACCCTTAGGGCAACTAATTTAATAGGATTGAAGTGGGGCCTTGGCATCAGTATTTTTAAAGCTCCCTAGATGATTTTAATGTGCAACAAGGCATGAGATGATTCCTCCAGAGAAAAGGTTACTCTGGCATAACTGCATTTCTGTGGCTGAAAGGCCAAAAATAGAAAATTTGATCTGTGGTACTGGGTCCACTTGCATCTCATTTCAGACTCAGCAAGCCAAGATTTTCCACCTTCCCACCACTGGTGCAGCAGGAAAGCTTGCCTGCAGCCTGTCCCTCCAGAACTGGAAGATGGGAGGCGGACAGGGAAGGTCCCTCGCGTTTCTACGCAAGTCAGACCCACCCTGTGCTCCAGAAAGTAGCCGGGAGAAAACTCAGCATTTTGACTGGGATTCGATTGCTGTCAAGCAGCTCTCTTCTACTTCCGTTGCACAGGGTTGGCACCAGGTAAAGAGATCCAAAGGAAACACGTGGGAAATACTGTGATACAGCCGCAGCTGTGCCTCCACAGGGACAAAACCCAAAAAACCAAAAAATCCTGCCTGAGGCTTTCCCTTCTCTTCAAGGCTTCTTCCCCACTTTGTTTTCCTGTTGAAAAGTTTCAAGACGCTTTACTACAGTTACACAATCTCTCCACCCCCGTCCACAGCCTGCAAAACGTCAGCCCCTAATCTTCCAGCCAGGGCCACTGCGTTCCCCAGAAGGTCACTCTCCCCCTAAAGCTGTTGCTTTGCAGGAAACTCGAAAACCACTTGGCTTCTCCACTTAAGCAATGTGTTTTTCTGCTGCGTTTCCAAAAGGCTCTTGGAGATTTCATGTTTGTATTTTCCCCTTTTCTGGCTCCACGTTCTCCTATGTAAATGAAGAAAGCTCTTCCAGTAGGGATGAAGGCGCAGTTGGAGCCCTGGCTGATTTCATCCACATTTGCTCTCACTTAAAGTAACTTTTCATGTACTGCTTAACGGGAATTGAGAAGAATTTAAGAAAAAGCCCTTTAAAAATCGATTCCAAATAAAAATGGAGCCATACAAATCCATCTGAGAAATAAATATTGCAGCCTTATTGCTGAGTGTTGTTAAAAATTTTATTTATTTCAGCCTTTTGTTATTCAATTATTAACTATGCAACATGTCCTGCTAAATCGTTTCTCCTACACACAGTTCAGATTTGACTTCTTACATTTATGACTTTGTTTATGCATTTATCTTTTAGTACTTACCTGAAACCCATACCATCTCCTCCCACCCCGTATAGTTAAAAAAAAACATCAAGGGGTGAAAATCAGGAAAGTCGTGTCCAAGGAGATTTCCCTTTGGTTCTGTCTGCTCCAGGGCCAAGATTAGACAAGAGGAGTGAGGCAACAAATTAATGCCTTTCAGAGGCAAAAGGAAAATCAAGAATACTGAAACAGTCTTGATTTAGAATTCTGATATTTTGTTTTTTATGAAATGTTTGCATTAATTTTGAGTTTTCAAACTATAGCATTAAGATATTATTCATCCTGATGACTGAGTTTGTTGGGTGCCACTTGCATTTTGTGCCCAAGTCGCAGTTACAGTCCTCCTTGAAGGACTGGGCACCGGTCACATAGACTGACATAACAGAGACTTCAAGGAATGATGTAATGAGACTCTTTACATTGGGGTATTGAGAGCCTCAAGTCTAGGCAGCTCTTGTGTATTGGCAGTGAAGTTATTCCAAACAAGAAGCTTAGTGTGATTAATTCCTCGGGGATCTTAGGAGCCACTGAAAACTGTATTTGAGTCTGCAGATTATGGTTAGGAGCAGAACCTCAACCCAGGATGCCTGCACTCCTCTGCCTTGGGAAGCAAGCTGTCATTCAATTCAATCCAAGGAGATATTTGCTGAGCCCCTCCAGGGGTCAGACACTGTACTAGGTGCTATATACAACTCTGAATGAGATAGCCTCAACCCTGCTCCCGTAGACTTCAGACCCTAGTACAACATTCGAAACAGATTTTTAAAAAGTAAAAAGCAACAATATCAGTGCTCTAACAAAAGTAGTAAGAGAAGAGTGAGCACAGAGGCAAGAACTCCTGATCCTGAGAAGATCCTCCAAGTGAAGGCATAGAAAGGAAGGAATCAATACATGTGAGATTCCCAGACTCTGAAAGTGTGTGTGTGTGTGTGTGTGTGTGTGTGTGTGTGTGTGTGTGTGCATGTGGCTCAGACCTCCTGCAAAGCACAACTTGAAAACACACCTCAGAGCATCTGCATCCTGATTGCGCTGCCTGCGTTCTCCACACCCCGTCGATAGGACACGTGCTTGGAGTTGTTTGAAGTGCAGTCATTGAGGCTCACACTCAGCTATTTATACCCCCTAGTTGGGTTCCACTGGTAAACAAGGACACACATTTGTTAAATAGCCGGGCAAGGGCAAGGGCGCCAAGTCTTGTAATAATAAAACAACTTACCTCCATTTAAAGCTAAGGCACGCTAAAATTGAACCTTCATCCTTAACTTCACGATCAACGGTGTGATTGCTAATACCATCCCATCAGTTCCTTTAGGCTGAAGACTTTGAAGCAGTTTATTTAAGATTCATTGTTAGGGTCATAAATTGAAAGTAGTTAGGGAAAGATGGAAGAGAGAATGATTGAAGGAAGGTTCTTTACTTAATTCCATCTTTGTAAATACATGGGACTTGATGTTACCAGGACTCTCTGGACTTAGAAGAAAAGAATGGGATCATTGATACAAACCAATTTAACCTAAGAGTAAAGTGAAATGCCTCAGTCTGAATCTGTCACCATAAACTGTGTCTTCACAAAATAAAACTTGGGTCACTTACTTCTTGAACTCAGTAGATACTGAGGTAGACAGTCCTGTCAGAGGAGCACCCATTCCCATTCCCGATGTTTCCTTCCAGGTGGAGGGCTCCACTCCACACCTCAGCCCCTTCCCCTTGACTGGTGAGTCTGAGATGAGCATGAAGACCCCAGACATCTCCTCTTGAGAGCAGGCTGTCAGGTTCTTTGCTCCTCTAGAGTGAGGTCAGTGCCCCGGGCCAGTTGAAAAGATAAACCTAATTCCTTCTGGGGTTCTCCATGAGGAAACCATAGACACATGCCCAGTCTTCATGCTCATAAAAGCGATATTTCGGTCTCCATCTCCCTTACTCCTTGGTCTTCTCTCTCCGTCGGTTCAGATCTTGAGCAGAGGAAAGGGGTACTCTTTATTGCCCTTATGCTCCCGTGCCCCCCAAAATTCTCTCTTTGTGTCTAATTGTTTAGCTTGAATCAACCAGATAACCAAGTTTAGCAAGGTCACAAGGAAATGCTAGAACTGAAAGAGAATCTCCAAAAGCCTTGAAATCAACTCTTGCCTTTTCAAGGCTGCACATCCAAGATGACTCACTCACATGGCTGGCCTGACAACCAGGAGCTCAGCTGGGGCTGTCAACCTGAGCTCCTATCGATGGCCTTTCTATGTGGCTTGAGCTTCTCACAGCATGCAGCTGATTTTCCCCAGAGCAAGCATTCCAAGACACCCAGACAAAAGCTGCCAGGCTTCTTATTACTCAGCCTTAGAAGTCCCAGAATGTCCCCTTTGCCACAATCTGTTGCCTAATCAAGTCACTGAGGCCAACCCAGATACCAGACGGGGAATGAGACTCCAACTCCTCCTGGGTAATACAACACTCTGGGTAATAGTCTCTACAATAGGGTAACAATAGAACTAACTGGTCACTTAACACGTCCTCCTTTGCTCGGCAATGTTTTAACATGCATGCGCTCTTGTATGCCACTCTACAGCCAATAAATAGGTACTATCATTAGCTCCATTTTACAGACAAGGCAAGTTTTCAAAACTGATCCAGGTTATATAGCTAGTGGTGGAATGAGAATTTAAAGTCAGGTCTGTTTAAATCCAGAGGCCCCTGGATTAACCTCGATGCTAGTCCTTTACCAATCCACTAGATGGATGGCCACATTCTGTTTAAAGATCAAAGACAATAGTTGACTCAAGGAGCATTAAAAAGCAAAGTTCACATCAACATATTTGAAAATACAACAGTAACTAGATTCAAAGGAAGTCTTGCCTAGCTTGTGCATGACACCAGAACCCCAAAACTTGTCAGCACACAGCATTTTTCCAGCAGTAAATGGAGGAAAAACACAAGCTCTGCTGGGCAGATTGACGAGGAAAATGTGGTGCTTCTATCAGAGGTTTGTAGTTCTAAGATTCCCTTGTGTTTTAGTGGCACCAACACACAAAGGGAATTAAGCCATTTTGATCTCCAATAATGAGAAACATGGTTGACGTTCAGACCTGAAACCATTTAATGCAAGTTAATCCTTGAAACAAATCTGGAATGAAATGAGGGAGAAAAAAATCTTATTATGGTAGACATCAACTAATGGGTTACATTTCTTTCTTCTCAATTAGAAATGGCAGAGGGGTTTTAATTATTTTTCCTTAGCAAGCACATCAAAACATATCTACACAAAAACACAGCAAATATGTTATAAACTGATTTAAGCCAAAGAGCTCGTCAACACTGTTTGCAATTATGAAATCATTTGGGGATATGGTATTTTTTTGGAAGGAATTGTTTTTCTCTTAGATGCAAACCACATCATAGTCCATCAGGCATAAATCTTTTATTGTATCTTCAAGAGCAAAAGTGGAAATTGTACAACAAAGGCGCCACTGATAAAATGCAATGAAGCCCCCCCAGAATCATTGGGATGATCTCACTAGTTAGGAGAGATAACAGGGAATGTCATGGTTTCAAAAATGCTCTTTGGGGGAAAAATTTTGTTGAAATTCAGTGGTGCTCAAGGAGTTCCAGAAAGGAATTATTGGGAACTTTCATCCCCTATCTCCATTTACCATATACATTAAAGAAAAAGGAAGATTTTTGGAGACTTCTTTGTCACTCAGTGAGCAATGGCAGGTATAGTAGCGATGGAAATGAACAATGTAATGTGCTTGACGAGAGCACAGCTCCGGGAGTGAGACTGCCTGCATATCCTTTCTGGCTCAGCCTCTTAACAGCTGTATAACTCTAACCTCAGTTTCTTTATTTAAAGCTTGGAATAAAAATAGGACTTACTTCAGATATTTGCTGTGAATGTAAAACATATATTGATAATATGTACCCTACAGATATTTAGTAGTATTAGTAGCAGGACCACCATAATTATTATCATTATATCAGTTTTCAATAGGAATACATGACAGAACATTAAACTAGGACATAGTCTAGATGTGGTACAGGGTCAGGCCAGAGAGTCAGGGAGTTTACACATTCAAAATCCAGAGCCATAAAACCAAAAATAAGGGTCAAATGAGCTAGCAACCCAAAGAGCAATTTGAGTAATGAAGAAAAATTCAAGGAAAACAACTTGCAGGGATGGTGCCAGTGGTTCAATTACTTTGTTTCTGGTTCAATTTTTATCACACCAGAGATGCCACACCAAATCAGACATTCTGCCTTTGCATCTTCATCTAATCAATTACCTGCCCCTTACTTTATTCTGGGTCCAGAACTCCATATCTTGAGTACAGAGAACATGAACCTAGTCATAATGGACTGGGATTCAGTGCCAAGTTCCCAGTTTCTGAGAGGTGTGTGTTGGGGGGGAAGTAGTTACAAGACAAGGGTCAACATTGGGGCGAAAAGCAAGTATTTTCTCACAAGGAAGAAATAAGAGCCCAGAATCTGAATCCAGGAAGATGATCGCTGCTGAACCCATAGCAAGGTTACTTTCGTGGAAAATCACTGAGCTGACAATCTAAGGGTTCTTATATTTACCCTAGCTCTATGCTTCTCAAAAATGATGATATAACCTGGGGATTATTATTTTAAAAAGTCAACTCTGAGGCTCCATATAAATCAGAATCCTTGGGGGATGAAGTCTAGGGATCTGCAAAATGTCCCCAAGAGATTCTTATGTGCACTAAACGTTGACAGTTTGACTAGAAGCTGAGCTAGCTTAGGACACAGTCTCAACTATGGCAACAGAAAATGTAGAAGAGTAGAAAGCCAGTCAAAAGCCTCCAGAGTATCCCAGTGCAGCCTCTACTAGATTTAAAAGTTTCAGCAATTCACCATCCAACGAAGGCTACTAGAAATTGTGGAGGCCCAAAAATAACTTGGTGACATAATTCTGCTTCCTTCATTGAAGAATGAAAATTTCAGTGTAATGGTGTATTGGAATCAACTGGGGTGATTGTCAAATGTTGAAGGCTTGTCCCGTTTGGAATCTGTCATTATCTAAGGGCTACAGAATAAGACTAAAGAATTGGAAGATGCATCCCTGAATCGGGGGAATTGCAGCAGAGTTAGGAAACTAATACAGACACAGTACATTCAGTGAGTATTTGATGAATTGAATTGAGTGAGCGCCGTCTCTAAGAACTTGAAAGCCTGGCTAGTGGAATAAGAAAGAGTCAAATGAACTAACATTTATTGAGCACTTATATACCAAACTAAGTGTGGGTACCAGACGGGACTCTACGCTCTGTTACCACCATGTCTGAGGCCCTCTACAGAAGGTAACTGAAAGACGTGCAGTCTCTGATGAGGTACACCCATGGCATACTCTAGAATGGGACATTCTATCATGTGACACTTGGTCCTTGAGCACAACAGGACACCTGATACAAAGACAGGCAAACTATCTCCAATCCAGTGAGTGGCCTATGAGGTCACTTGCTTCAAAAGTTTTACCCCTAAAGTAATAGCGTCTAACCAAATCACTTGGATTCCCTTGGGAATTTGTACTAGAGTTGTGAGCCTTTCCTTTAATTCTTACTTTGACCCTATAGTATTAGAGATGCTCTTGTTCATCTTTGTAAGAGGCAAACTCGAACTGGGCAAGGATAAACAATATTCCAGTCAGGAAGATATCAACCCAGATCTGTGATGTCAAAGCTTCTACTTCTACAGAAGACAGACCTAGAATTGCTAAAATGATGTTACAAAAAAAAAAACAAAGAAAATCAATAAAAAGGAAGAGTTCTCTAACAATTGGAGCAATGCTGAGGTGAGCCATTACAAGATCAGTGGAGGTTTCTCTACAAAGGTTGAATAACCTCTGCTTGGGGAGGCCAGTCTGGGAAAGAAAACCTGAACAAGATGGCTGCTACAATCTCTTCCAAACTAAGATGCTATAATTTGTTGGCAAACAGATGGGCACCACATTAAGTTAATTCCTTTTTTGTCCTGGCAAAAGTAAATGTATTCTTGCAGAAACGTCTATTGGCAGTGTGGTTGCCTTGTAAAAGCAGAAAAGAAGCTGGGAAAACTGTTTATTTTCTTCTCAAGATTTTCAGATAGCTTAGGTCGAGCAGGATTATAGGGCTATGCAAAGTATAGCACAGTGGTTAAACACACTGGTAAAAGTGGGTTTGTATCCTGGCTCTGCCTCTGTGAGCTATGTGACTTTGGGCATGTGGTTTAACCTTGCAGAAATGCATCTTCCTCACCTGAAACAACCTACCTCACAAAGTTGTTGCAAGAACAAAATGATGCGTGGAAAGCACGTTGCACAAAGCATATATCAAACTGTCAATAAATTGTAATTATTAGCTATTCTATAGTAAAGCTGTTTAATGGGACATCCAAGTGCTTTTGAACTGCTTCATGATCCTGGTGTTTGACAAGAGGCACTTGCTGACAATTCCTCAGGGGGAAAAAAATGAATGAAATAGAGTTCAATATGTGAGGAAGAGAAAAGACATTTTTTTAAACTTAAGTTCTTTTTTCTTACAAGACACAGAGACCGGGCTTTGGATTTCAACAGACCTGGTTTTTCTTCCCTGCTCAATATCAGTAAGATCTTGAATAAATGATTTGGCCTCCTACACCTCAGTGACATAACCTGTAAAATGGGAATATATCATTAGGATGCTTTGGGCTGCAAGTAATGGATTACCTGACTACAACTGGCTCAAACAATTGTGGCTTATTTTTCTAATATATCACACAGTCCAAAGATGGTAAGCTCCAGGGTTGATTCTGCAGCTAAAGTATTCTGAAATTGAGTTGGTCTCTGCAATTGCCTTGGCTTCCTCCTCATGATCTCAAGATGGCTAAAGTGGTTCCAAGAATTATATTTTCATATGAAAATGTCCAAACCTGGAACAAGGTGAGAAGCACTTCCCTTTTGCAGCTTTGCCTTTCCACCAAGAGGAAAATATTACCTAGAAGCACCCAGCAGATGTCAATTCAGGTCCCACTGGCCAGAACTGGGTTGTATGTCCACCTCTAAACCAATCACTGGTACAGAGACATGGCACTATGGCTGTATCATTGTTCATCCCCAATGGCTAGGAAAGGGATCTGCTCCACCACACATCTGAACAAATCAGAGTGTTGTTAGTAATGAGGAGTGTAGAGGTAGGTAGGCAAACAGTAATGACTGCTCCTTATATCTGTCAAGAATGTTGAAAAGCTTGAATGATACTGTGATGCACCTAACACATGTTACGTGCTTGATACATATTTGTTCCTCCTTAGTGATTAAAAGATCTTAAAGCCATAATCTTCTCAGATTAAACTATCCCAAAACAGGAGGTACCGATTTATATAGATATATTAGGAAGGCTATTTAATACAAAAAAAGCCTTTTCTTAAATGTTCCAACTCCATATTTATGTAAACATGGGGTCTCCAATTCATTTAAGCTGCATTTCAATGAACACAAATTAAACAAAATACACATATCAATTTTTTGATGCACTTTTGCTGCATCCAATACACCCATATCAAATTAAATATATCTTCATAATCTTTATCATCAATCTTTATCATCATGACCATTGATACCTACAGAAATCATGTTTGGGGATGGAAATAAAGTGTCATAAATAAACAATCATTCAGTTCAAAAGTTTATAGGACAAAAATGGAATGTGGGTATTGGTTTATAGCAAGAGGCATGAGCATCAGGTTGACCCAAAACAGAGTTTTGAGAAACTCTTATTGTATATTTATTTGTTGGGGACCCTTTACATAGTGTTCAAATACCACATAACTTTCCATGCATCCATGCCTTCTACAGTTTCCTCTACCTTATAGCAAGCTTGTTCCCACCTTGTGAAATCCAACTCAATTTTTTTTCTCCCCTGCAAAGACTTTCTGGACTTCCCTCAGGCAATTACTTCCTCATCTGGTCTCCCCAAGCTACACCTCTTTTGTCCCACTTAATGTTGTAATTATTTACTCATGTGTCTTTTTCCTTCACGAGACTTGGGGGCAAAGGACTGTGTTGTATTCATGCTGACAGCCCCAGTGCCTAGTGCATTGCTCAGCATGTATTATCATAGTACAGGCAATAAATCTTTATTGAACAAGTGGTTTTTATGTTTTATGCACCTACTATGTGCCAGGGACTGTAAGAGAAGCTTCATATACAACATCTTATTGTGTCTCCCAACAACCTTATGAAAGAAGAGAATGAATCTCAGAGATTAAGTAGTTTTCCTAAGTGGAAGCCGAATCTCCATTTGAATTTATCTCTGTTCTTCTCCAAAGCCTGGGTATTCTCCAATATGTTGTGAGGTCTTCATGGAGGCTTCATGGCTAGAGCAATCTCAAGAACAGTAGCCAAAAGTACCATTTATATATCTACTTTGACTTCTCTTGTTCTCTTTTTTACAATATGCAACTAGAAGCCATACCCTTCATTAGTTAGAAAAAAATAATCAAAGCGAACAAATTATTATTTTCATTTCTTTCTTCTAGACAAACTCAATCCTACAGTGCTATAATGAAAAGCTTCAGTAAATGTGTGATTTATCTATAACTAAGCCATCTCAAGCTGGTATTAATGCAGAGTGAAGCTTGGTGGCCTACTGCTGGGGTTTTAGAGTGAGAATCACAACTCTTTTCCTCATATATCTGTAGAGTAGATACGGGAGTCAAACAGAAGACAATACAGGTATTTATTTCTAGTAAAGCTAAATTTACACACAGAGCTTGCTACCACATCCAGATCCCCTTCAGGGCCCAGTACACCCACCCTCAGCTGCTGTGAGTGTTGCATAGATGTCCCCCTAATCTGAAGAGCTGTCCTCAGTTGATGGGGTCACTTTACCTGGGAAGTTACGAGCCCACCACTCCCTCCTCCCTCCCCATCCCAGTGGCCCTTCCACCCCTTTGTCTCAAGGAGAAGTAGCTCTGCAGTGGTCTCTGTGTGCTAGGGTCTTCCCCTGCGGATCAGGTAAACTTGACCCGAGGCCACATTCTTCCTCGCCCAAGTCTTCCCCATTGCCTGTGCTGCTTCCCTCGCTCCCTGATGGGTTTTCCTGGAGAACACTTTCTCAATAAACCACGTGCACTCACATCCCTCCTAGGCTCTTCTTCTGGAGAACCCAACCCAAGACACTTTGCTTAGATGTGAGGCCACAATTAGGCTTTCTAATTCCACCACCTGTACACACACCCCGAATTTAACTTCGTCACCACCTCCCCCATCACAGGAACAGCCGGACACCAGCAAAGATGTACTAAAATGTCTTTTACAGAGACATGGAGGCCAGAAAGGGACCCAAAATGTTGTTCTCATCGGTTTCCCTCCCAGGAAAGCAGAGCAAGCGTTCCTTTCTAATCAGCACTAACCTATACAGATCCTATGTGCGAAGCTGGAGAAGGTCCACCCCCGATGGTAGAGCCCACACCAGGGTGGACACGACTTGGTGACCTGAGAACAGCACAGTTTCAGCTGCTCTCAACCTCTTGTCCTGCTTCCTTTGTGCAGGACCAGGTTGCAGAGCAGCAATGGAGGCCCTATACTACGGAGAATGACTGAGGAGAAGCTCCCCTTCCTCAACACCCACATTGGGGAGGACCAACCACAACCAACAGACAAATATCGAACCCTGGGGTTCAAATCCTGGGTGGTCCATGTATTATCAGTGGGACCCTTGGCAAACTACTTCACCTCTCTTTGGCTTCATCTTCTCATCTTTAATGTAGGGATAATAAAAGTGCATTCCTCATTTGGTTGTGGTGAAGATTAAATGAGTTAAGACATGCAAGGTGTCTAGAGTAACTTTTGACACATAATAAGCCC